GTAGTAGTAGTAGTAGTAGTAGTAGTAGTAGTATATACAACACGCATGCGAGATAAAATTTAATTCAATTAATTTACGGGATGATCGAGAGATGAATAAAAATCTTAACTCATAACCCATAATTCTAAAACCATGCGTTTACTGGTAATTCGGTGTTTTTCGTTGAACGTGAAAATAAATACTCGGACTTCACATTATATTTCTGAGATTTATTTTTATTTTTATTTTTTTTTTTTTTGCCGTTATCTCGTTAACTCAAGATTCCAAACAGTAGTTGGTTTACGTCACTACACAAAATGTTTGGATAAGCTAAAATATACGCCAAAGGGGAGTATATATACAGACACGACATACACACACTCTCTCAATTCAATCGGGTGTATCATTAATCCCCTACATCGACCGGCTTTGGGCTGTGTCGACTATACGTATGTACCAATTCACAACAAACGTCAAATTAGAAAATTAAGTGAGACGGAATCTTGTAAGTATATAAAATATTATTTTAATTTAGTTATTATTGATTGAAAAGTATAAAAGAGATATTGGAATCCTCAAACGGAACTTGAAGCTAACTCTCTTCTCAAAGGTAAAATATCTTGTACTTATCATTTCTATTTTTTAGATGTTAACATAGTAAACACATTTTACCGCAACTTTTTTCTTCGCTGTTCAACAATTAATAACCGAACTATAATAGCTATTATAGTTTTATTACTAAAATAATTTAAACTGTTTTTATTTACGCTGTACGATTTATAAGTTCAGAATAGGACTAAAACTTACATGTTTGTAATAGTAATAATAGTAATGATTTTATATTTATCAACTGTATATTGTATACTTTCTCAAAACAAATGTATTTTTAACCTTGTATGTTTAATTGAATGTATATATATATATATATATGTAAACTTTTTCATTACATATTTTATTTATTGACCATTGAAATAAGTATTATTTTTACTTTTCATGATTAATTGTGTTGTTTACTTTTAATGTATATGCTAAATAGAATTTATATAAAATTGGAATACAGCGAATCTTATGATTAATATATTTAATATATTTATTTATTTATTTATTTATTTATTAATATATTTAATTCACGCAGTTCATAGAATTCAACATAATTTTTCTGTTTTTCGTGTAAGTATTTTAGATAATTTATTTGTGAGTTGTGATTGACTACTACAGTATGTTAGTGTAAATTTAAGATCAATTTTATTTTTGCTTATTTGTATAACAAGATTAGAATTTAAGTTAAGAGTTATCTATTCGCTTGATTTGGCATAAATTATTTGAGTGGTAACTGAATTTCTTTTATAGACTAGTTAAAATGAAGAAATCAAAACTAAAACCTGTTTTATATTAAAATTAAATACATTATGTGTTAATGATAATTGTAAAGTATTCTAAAGTTTATAAATTGCTAAAAAAAATAATTTTACATATTCATTTTCATTCCAAAATCTTATCATTAACATATTAAATAATTATAATATATGATTTATATTAATTTTTGAATCAATACTGCCTTACTTTAAACAGTGTAAATGGGTTTATAGTATAAATAGAAAATATCTTAAGATTAATCTACATATTTATTTTTTAAATGTCATACTGAAAAAATAAAACTAATAATAGTTATATGTAATAGTTTTGATTCCCCACTGATAATTTTTCTAAAATAAAAAAAAAATAATAAAAATCATTATTTATAGTATAAATAGGTAATTTTGTCCAAATTTTAACTTCAAATAATTATTTTTATACATTTTTTTAGTCTTTTCTAATATCTATGAGGAAATATTGTATTACATTTTCTGACCTATGATAAAATTTCGAACTCCAAATGCACACAGGAAGAATTGTGCTTATATATTTTAAATATTTTTATACAGATATGAGAAAAAATGTTAAGGGATTAAATTTTCAATAATTTTAACCAAAATAATATTTGTTATCGACATTTATATAAAGAAAAACTAAAAAAAAAAAATGTATCATTCCTTAAAAAAAAATAAATAAATAGCTCAAAAAGATTAATAACTATATATTGATATTTAAACTATACAATATAGAAAACGATAATATAATTATTCAAAATAAATTTCAAATCTTTCTGTTTTTTTCTTTTTTTAATTATAACAAAATAAAGAAATAAACTTTGTCATAATCTGATTTAGCGTAAAACTCCTGTATTTTTTCAATTTTTTTTTTCGTTTCTTAATTATTAAAAAATGTATTGTGGTTACTTTACTTTTGAATCTGAAAAGCATCATCAACTAGATCTAATTTTTTACCAAAAACAATCCTAATAGTTGAAAATTTAAAGTATTTTTTTTATTACCTCGAAACATAAAATAAAATACAAAATAAATACATCTTTTTAAAACCAATCCATTACTCTTTTCGTTCAGAATCTAAAAATAAACAATTCAAATTCTCATGATATTTTTGTACGATCGTTTTTGTTTATCTTTAGTAAAAGCCTATTTTAAATTAAGCTACACTTACAAAATTTAAGCAAACTTCCAAAATGATTTAAATTTAGAAAAATCAATTTTGAGAGATAGCAAGTAGCAACACATAAAAGTTATAAACGAAAGTTTCCAAAAAACCCTAATGCATACAAACATAATAGACATAAACTTTTGTTTAATGAAAACTAATTTAACTTCTAACACAGATTTTGATGTTAACATATTAAATATAACATGTTACGTTCATGATCAACTAACTATCAAATACTTACAATGCTCATCTTAATAAATATAACTAAAAAATTAAAACATTGTAATACGTCACTAAATAATATTTATCCACATACGATTGATTTGTTCGTGTATAATTTACAATTTATATACATAACAACATACAAAATACTGTTTATCAAATAATTAATTGATAAAAAACCATATTTCAGTAATCGTTCAACAGTAATTTTTATATTCAATACTAAATTGTTAGTGCATTTGAGTGAGTCGTGCACTTTCAGCTTCCAAATTAAGCCATAAGTGCGGTCTTTATTTCGAAACGTATGAGTTGAATCATCTTATAGCCTTACAGGTGCAATTAATAACGCGAACAATTCTACAAAGATAGTCAAGATATCTTTTTATGGCTTAATTTTTTACGACATGAATATTACGTTTATGCATAGTACTACAATAACGTTGGCAGAATGTGCAAATAACTTGGCAACGGATAGCAACGACGGACAAATCGAATGACGGACACTATTCCGGTATCATATAAGATACTATGATCAATTTATTAATGTATAATATAAACTATTAAGTATAAGATATGGCATATTATCATGAAATATTATTATACTCACAGGGGTGCGATGCGTGTTGCTCGTAAATACTGTTATCGGGCTGAAAACCAAGTGCAACGTACAGACAGCGATTTGGATGTGCGTCGCGATTACGAACGATTACGGTGCGCTTTCCGCGAACATTTTCCGTGCCGCGGTGTTTGGGGACAACTGAAACGCCGCGCGGCACACGATACTCGGTTGGAGTACCATAGCGATGCATTTCGCGCCCCTCACGGCATCGAGGGCGCAAGCGTAGTAATTGCCTCGTAAAACGCCGACCCTTCGTGGTTTTATCCTTTAGTCTTTGAAAACCAGGTAGTCGCAGAAACTGAATAATTACAAAAACCTAATGATTTTTTCTTCTTACTAAAGCATCTGGTACAAAAATTGTATTAAAAAAAAAAAAAAAAAGAAAAAAAAATTAAATAATTTAAAAAATGTAATCAAGTGCATCATGTAAATTAACGTGTTTGAAACAAATATTAATAATGTGATCCTATTACGTATAGCATACCAGTAATCGTTCTCAAATTATAGCTATTTGTAATCATCGTGAAATATTATTACACTGATATTGTACAGATCAAGTTAATAAATTATTTTGAAATTCTTCAAGTCAGTATACAATTTTCGTCCCGTTACATCACCAATATATTATGGAGTGGAATTACCGTGAAATTTTAATTTTTAGTAAAGTAACCAATTATAATCATTGATGACATTTATTTAATTACCAGTTAACAATTACTTTTATCATATTAAGCATCACTGATCACTGGTGCAGGTAGATGAGTGTCCGAATATCTTGCACCGCTAAATATAATATTTCCCAACTCCTTCTAGAAGTCTGAATATAGGATTTGGTTTATCAACTATAACCGGTGATCTTCGGGTTTATTTCCCTCTCTAGATAATTTTAATTTAGAGGAATAAAACGGGATGTAGCGATATGGCGCCACACAAGGTACTATAGTCTATATTTATAATGTTGTAATCGATAGATATGAGACTAAAAAAACTTTTAGATTCTTTTAATGCTCCAGAATATTTTTAGAGAAAGAAATATGCATCATTAAAAGTCCTAGTTTTCGTGTTTTATTCATAATTTTAAAAGCTGAACAAAAATAATAATTTTTATCTACGTAAGTTTAATAACATTATTAAATTATAATATTATTATTAATAATATTTTAATAAGAATCTACCCTGATTAAAGCTATTTATAAATGTAATTATACATTACAATATTAATACAATAAAACAATCAAATGGTTGACCACTTAATTTTATTTTTTATTGATTACAAAATAAAAAATTTTAAATATAAAATAATATCATCGTACTCTAAGCTTGTATATTGTTTCATAATATATTTAAAAATATTTTTATACCATTTTCAGTAATATAACTTACTAATTTAGAGATTTTTCTTAATTAGTCATAATATTTAATGTAATTTAATAATATGAAATTGGATGTCTGGAAAATGACTTGTTAATTTATTTGATAATGTACACGTAACCTTACCAAAAACATGATCTGATGATATTATACATGGCTTTTACGTATATTTTTTTTAAATTATGATTATTATTCGTGGAAATATATAAGGATTAAGTAGTACACTGTTTATTGTTCACGTACATTTTATTATTAAATGCGACGTTTCGTAGTAAACAATATAATATATGACACTTCAATTAAGATGTAAATATTTACATAAGATTGAAATTTACATCATTTTACAAATTACAATTTCAAAAATAATAACAATACGATAAATGGGTAGTATTGCATGAAACAAATGAACATGTTCATTATTTTGATATATTCTAATATCATGTAAGTGCTGTATAAATAGGTGCAAATTTAGGGAGGTGGTGTGAACATCATTTTCGGGGAGTTGATTATATATTAAGATACTTATAAATTTGTTTAAAAATATTTTCGTTTTTATTCTCAGTTATTAAAATGTATAATTCAATTCTTTTTACATTTAAAAAAAATATTTACCTGCTTATAACGGTAATATACAATAAATATCATTAACTGTATAATGTATATAACTATTAGAAAACGATATTCTTGTTTACAGTATAATTTAATTATTAAACAAATATAATAGTTACAAAGAGATGGATTCTCGAACTCAATTTAAGAAAAAAATATGTTTGAGTTCGGATTCAAGTAAGTGAATCTGTATCCCAGAGGAGTGCAAGTTTTCTAAATGTACATAATACTTAATTGACAACCAATAAAAAGTCATATAAATATATTCAAAACTTACAGAAAAAATTATCAAGGATCAATATCCTTTTTTCCTAGTTCTTATCCTAGTTTTTATTTTCAAAAATAGATAAATGTTTAAGTATATATATTGAATATCCATATAATTCGAGAATTATTGTTTTGCGTATTAGGTTATTAATTATTTCACCTGATTGCCATTACTGAATGGTCTCTTCACTTAAGCTGTATGTCTGCCAATCTAAATAATTTATCTTTTTGGTTTATTTTACTAAGAATTTACATATATTATTAATCTTCTCAAATAAAAACTTAAGAAAAAACTTAATAATTTTTCTATTAGGTAAGTTACTACGAGTAATTTATTCAGAAAAATTGTTATTATTTCAGTGTATGTGCTAAAATCACAAAAAAACAAAAAAAAAGTCATTCAAAATATGCATTTTAATTAGCATCTATTTTGTTTATAATATGAAATTTTAACTTTAAAAGTGTATGATGTAATTTGAAAACATAGCACGGGCCAAATAAAAAAGGCTCGCGGGCCGTCAGTTGCCCACCCTTGATATACTATATAACCAGTAATCGCTACAATTATTTTAGAAACATTTTCTATTTATAAACTATAAATTATAATATCAATTAATTTTCAATTAATAGTTCTAAAATTCAACTAATTAAACGGTTCAAATTAATACTGAATATACAGTATTGACTTATATCATATAATTGTTGATGTCTATAACGTCAATTAATATTTAATAATCCTACCAAAGATTTTAAAGAAAAAACTTTAAAATTAATTATACATATAAAATATTTCAATTAAAACTTCATTACAAATCGAGTACTCGAGTGACTTATTTATATGTCCTATAGAATAAATATATACTAGTATATTATTGATAATCCTTTTTGCAAACTATATCCAAATTGAACCACAAAACCATTTTAAACATTAATTAAAAACTCGTTTCAATAATAAACGATAATAAAATACTAGATTCTATCTATCTCTGACGGTTGAATAGTATCTATTCACTTCGTTGCGTACAGCTAGACTAAGTACGTTTAAGTTATAAGCTATAACAATAAAATATAGATGATCATAATTACACATTTAATAACTAGTTTTACGTATTAAATATTTGCCCTTTATTTCAAATTAAAAAACAATTATAATATTAAAAATAATATATTATTGTATACATATAGTTTATAAATGTATAATATACATATAATTATATAAATATATTATAGTTTTAATGAGCGATAGTTTTTCAAACAAATATATTAATTTGTTTCTTCAAGTTCAATTTCAATTTTTAATTAAATATCAACTTGTACATTTTTAATCTATTTATGAATTAATTCATATAATTCATTAAGTAAGTTATATTTATTCATAACATGAACATTGAACATATACCAGTACTTCATGATGTCAAAAAACCGATGACATAAATGCTAATAAGAACGTGACGTTAAATTATTTTTATATCTTTCGTGATTCAAAAATAATCACAAAATGTTTCCTTCCTGACAACTTAAGAAGGTAAAAGTGAATAAATAATTAAAATTAATTAATTAAGTTACATTTTTATCCAAATATGTGAAATAAATAAATATTATTTCAACGAAATGAGCTTATTAAAATAAACACCACTCTAAAACTTTTAGAAATTAAACTATCAAAAAAAAAAAAATGTATAAATAATTATTTATGTAATAAATACAATTTTACATTATAAATCATTCATTTAGTTCTTATGAACAATAATAGTAATTACAATAATGGTATATAAAATATAAATATTATAAATAAAATATTTTGCATTTAGGTATAATTTCACCATTAGATACATAATATATGTTTTTTATAGTTATTATTTTAGGCATTTAAATGTAGTGTATTTAAGGTGAAAAATAAATAGTATGAAAAAATGAAACAAATAGCCAAAGGCTTAGTCTCAATAAAAAAAATAATAACAAAACACTATTTCATATTTATAAATAAAATAGTAATAAAAAATACAATAATTACTTATTGTAAAGTATGTTTTAGAACTAAAATACTTAAATACCAAAAAACAATGGAGGTCGTATCAATATTGAATGTAAATATTTGTGTTATATATATCTTATAAGCTTGATAGTTTGTACAACATAAAAGTTTCTTTGGAACGTTTTATGAAGGAATAATAACTATTACTTTACCTAACCTTAGACGAATTCTAAGGAATGCCAGTAACTCATCTCAAATAATTTGTTCAAAAAACAAATAAGTTATAATAATAATAATAATAATAATAATAACCATTTATTAGTTACAATATGTTGTAACAAACCATATTTGTTATTTAGTTCGTGGTTGTTCTTAAAACGTAACTGTGAGTATGTACGATTTAAAAACAGAAAGTATTAACTCTATAAAATTATTAACTTATACTTATTACAGATTTTAATAGCATAATTAGTATATGTAATTATTACAAGTTCACAGTAATATAATTTTATATATAATATCATTATAATTTACCATTGTACATGAACATTCGCGGTGGAAGTGAAAATTTGAAAATTAAATCAATCGACAATCTAAGACAACTAGAACTATTATACAAATTTAGATACAAGCTTTTTCCTTAAAATATTGGTTTTAATTAAAACAATTTGAACGATTTAATGGTAATAAGAAAATAAAAAGTTACCAATAGAAAAGTATTGATATAGTCGTCGAAAAGTTCCAAGCAAACGTGAGAAAGTTGTTCTCCTTTTTTATTATACTACAACTGTGTACAAAAAACTAAGTAAAATATTAATAAAATACTTAACTTTTTTAACTGAATTTGCTTCTTTCTAATTTTTATACAGACGTGTTTCAAAAGTCAATACTCTATTATTCAAA